TGGTATCCCTGCGGTCGATGTCTGCTTCGATAAGACGATACTGCACGGTGTGGTGCGTGATGAACGCTAAGCCACCACCATTATCTCGCTCGCGATCTCGACGGTGCACGTTGTACCCGGCGCAATTCAACAAAGTTGAATTGCTGTGCAGCTTCGTCTCTTGGACCGCAGCTATTAATATACCATGCCGACACATGAAGACGGTTATCTCCTCAATCTTGCTCTGTAGCCCGTTACAGTTGAATTGGAGGAGCTTCATGTGGTTCGGGAGACGTGTCGTGATGTGGGGTGTGAGTGAGGTGTATGTTCTTGCCGCCGTTGGCTGTGTGTGCTGCTGAGGTGGTTGCCGCCCTGTGGTGGTGGTGGGGGGCGTCGCAATAGACGTCAATCTGCTTGCTTATATTACTGGAACCTGTCGCTAGCATCCTCTTAAGCGTATCATGGTCATTAGAATTGCGTAAATTCCGACCGAATGCTACTAAATTCGTCGATGGAACGCAAGTAAATAGACATACGCCCTCCTTTGAGTTATCGCAGAACACATGAAATACGTTGAATTTGCTTAGAGAAGTCGTACCGAATCATCGGGGGACACTTATTTGGCTTATGAATTGGAATTTTTTCAGAATTTCACTCCAATCAGATTGGATTTCAAAGGGCATTTGGTCAACCCAGCCGACATTTTCCCTCCACAACTGAGTCATGAACAACTTGGCTTTTGTTACGAATGGGTTTAACCAACCTAAGGGATCGAAAAGTCGAGCAATAATAGAAAATATACCTCGTTTTGTGGCTAGAACTGAAAAATTTAATTGAAAATAGAATTCGTCACTGACCGTCGACCTAAGTAGACCCAACGCCTTGATTTCTTTGCTCGAGTTGATTAAGCATTCAGTGCTTTGGCTGCAGTATTCAGGTGGTATATAATAGCGATTCGATAACAGAGCCAGACACAGCCGAAAATAAAATGTATAAAGCCGAAAATACGTTCTACTTATAAAAAGAAGTTTTATTAAACTCGTTCAATTTTTATAACGATGAGAGTGATACAAATATATCGATAAAGATAAGAAAACAAGTGGCGATAGTTATGGATTTGTGTGTTTACTTAAACTAAACGTAAGGCCTTGGTTACAGTATAATAGTTGAGATGCATCTACTAATACCGCCTCTTAATTTCAAACAAAAAATGGATCAGATAATGCACACACATTCTCAAAATAAAATAAAAACGTTAAACTACTAAATTCAATTTTTCACGATGCTTTGTGAATGCGATGCGCCGAATTGCCTTTGTCAGTATGCTAGCCAGCTGATCAGAACTGCATTTGTACTTCAGCTTCACTTCGCCAGCAGCAATTGATTCTCGGATGAAATTTTACTTAATGTCAATGTGCATCATTCGTTTATGTTCGCGTGGCTTTTCTGCCACCTTAAAGCATGATTGGTTATCTTCACATATAGTAGACAATGTATTTGCTCTATAACCAATCTCACCAAGTAAACTTCTTAACCATTTCAGCTCACAAATTCCATGAGCCAGTGCAATGTATTCAGCCTCGGTGGATGACAAACTCACCGTCGCTTGCTTTCACGATGCCCAACTGACTGTGTTATCAAAGCCTTTGAATGCATAGCCAGAAATAGATTTTCGATCTGTGTCTGTGTAACCGATTATCAATTCAGCATTCGTTGATTTGCGATAAATCATCTTTGCATCCAATGTTTCTTTGATGTAACGCAAGTTGCGTTTTGCGTGCGTGAAATGCGCAGTCCCATAGCAGCTTTGAAAAGTGCTAAAGTAATTTGCAGCGGCACACAGGTCTGGACGAGTAGTGAGCGTTGCGTAGGTCAAACAACCTATCAATTCTCGATATGGTATATTTGGCAAATCATTTGGATTACCTTTCTTTAGGTTCAAACCTACTTCCATTGGTGTAGCTGCGCCTTTGCAATCATTCATTCCGAACTTTGTCAAACATTTTTCAAATACTGAGTTTGACTCATGATCATGATTCAATAATACAAGGTTAGATAATTATTGACAGCTGCGGTATGTTAGCCAGCTGATCAGAACTGCATTTGTACTTCAGCTTCACTTCGCCAGCAGCAATTGATTCTCGGATGAAATTTTACTTAATGTCAATGTGCATCATTCGTTTATGTTCGCGTGGCTTTTCTGCCACCTTAAATCATGATTGGTTATCTTCACATATAGTAGACGATGTATTTGCTCTATAACCAATCTCACCAAGTAAACTTCTTAACCATTTCAGCTCACAAATTCCATGAGCCAGTGCAATGTATTCAGCCTCGGTGGATGACAAACTCACCGTCGCTTGCTTTCACGATGCCCAACTGACTGTGTTATCAAAGCCTTTGAATGCATAGCCAGAAATAGATTTTCGATCTGTGTCTGTGTAACCGATTATCAATTCAGCATTCGTTGATTTGCGATAAATCATCTTTGCATCCAATGTTTCTTTGATGTAACGCAAGTTGCGTTTGGCGTGCGTGAAATGCGCAGTCCCATAGCAGCTTTGAAAAGTGCCAAAGTAATTTGCAGCGGCACACAGGTCTGGACGAGTAGTGAGCGTTGCGTAGGTCAAACAACCTATCAATTCTCGATATGGTATATTTGGCAAATCATTTGGATTACCTTTCTTTAGGTTCAAACCTACTTCCATTGGTGTAGCTGCGCCTTTGCAATCATTCATTCCGAACTTTGTCAAACATTTTTCAAATACTGAGTTTGACTCATGATCATGATTCAATAATACAAGGTTAGATAATTATTGACAGCTGCGGTTTGACACTCCCTTACAAAAGGTTGCATTTACGAAGGACAGAGAAAGGGCAAGAATGCAATCCCTTGTTGCGAAAATGGTAGTAGAAAAGTACGCAAAGTAGGCAATTAGTAGTGAAATTCCTTTCGTAAATTCTAATGTATTTGCAGGAAATCTGGCATTTTAAACGAAATGTTGAACGTCAAGTTAATATATCTACGTGAATTACGTAATTTATATGCTATTTAGCCGTATAAAAACTGCAAAATGACTCAAGATTAAAATAAGACTACTATGAGACTGATGTAAACATCCAATGCTTATGTTTTCATCAGTTAAATATGCTTCATATGCATACACAAATAAACATATTGCACAAAAGCTTATATTTTTATATACATATACACATTATACACCAAAGATACACTGTTTCCATGTAAATTTGCAAAGAAGCAACACGGTGCCACTGCTAAGGGAGCGGTGCGAGAGAGACAACTGTCAGTTTATCGAACCTTGTATTATTGAATCATGACTCATGATGACTTCACCTTTTTGATGTTTTCTTCGATGTGCATACCAAGAAACGTTTCAGCCTTGCCAATATGCGTCATCTTAAGCTGTTTAATTAATAAGTGCTTAATGATACAAATTTTTTTTTACTGCAGAAAATCAAAACGTCATCAACATACAATATTATTGTTACGATTATCCTCGAAACCTTGAGGGATTTCCCAAATATAGTCGGGCTCGTATCGCTGGATTGTTAAATAAATGCTAACGATGACCAAATTGTAGTACAATTAACTTTATTGTACAACAAACAATTTACAATACTTGCTAATACAGTAAAAACACTTTACAATACTTGTTAAAGCAATAACAACGCTTTACTACTTGTTAACACAATTAAACTTATAGCTTGCTTATTCGCAACTCAATTCTCCGCTCACTTTACTTGTAGCTTGCTGACTTGTAACTAACTCACCTCGTGGTGGCGGCGCCCTTATATACCTGCGCTGGCACTTATGGCAACTCTAGAACATTCTGAAGTTTATCGCTCATTCTCTTTCTCTCGCTGTTCGCAGTGTTCATCCAACTTGACGTTTCTCTTTGTGGAACATTCTACGTCATTCCTCGAACATTCTGCCTATTTCTCGTTGTTCGCTTTGTGTTGCCGCAGTATTCGCCACACTGCCCTCCACCTAAGTCTGATCGTCCCGATCAGACACACTTGCGGTTCCAAACGCTGCAAGCCTTTCCAAGTGGACCACCTTCATCTTGTTTCTTGGTCTCCCGACGGTCTGGATCCGATACACTACGTCATTTAGCCGTTTTACGACCTTATACGGACCTTCCCAGTTGCATTGTAGTTTTGGGGACAAACCTTTCTTTCGTTGTGGATTATACAGCAACACCAAATCTCCTTCCTGGAAACCCTCGGAATTCATCGCCTTATCATACCTGGCTTTCATCTTGTCACTCATAATTTGTGTGCGCTGTCTCACAAGAGCATGTATCTCTCTCAGCTCCTCTTCCAGGATGTTTGACGTCTCTTTTCCAATCCTTCTAGCATCACCAGTCACCCCAAACTTCAGATCACTAGGCAAACGGAGCTCACTGCCGAATATTACCCTTGCAGGAGTTTTACCCGTTGTTTCATGCACTGCTGACCGGTATCCCATCAGGAACAAGGGTATGCGGACATCCCAATCTTTTTGATTCTTGTCCACGACCTTCCGCAAATGGTCTTCCAGGGTTCGGTTGAACCGTTCCACCATGCCATCCGATTGGGGATGAAGAGCCGTCGTTCGAGTTTTCCGGATACCCAGTATCTGGCACATCTCTTGGAACACCGCCGATTCAAAATTTCTTCCCTGGTCAGAGTGCAGCTCTATAGGTACACCGTATCTCGCAACCCAATTGTAGGTGAATACCTCCGCTACTGTTTTAGCTTCCTGGTTTGGAATCGGGTATACCTCCGGCCATTTGCTAAAGTAGTCCATAACCACAAGGACGTATTTGTTTCCCTGTGCGCTCATAGGAAATGGACCGGCTACATCCCTGGCAATCCGCTCAAAAGGTGCACCGGAGTTATACTGCTTCATCTGACCATGACTTCTGGATTTCGGCCCTTTAGCTGCAATACACTC